ATTCCTGCTACGTTTTGTGCCCAACTTTGTCCTTCAGACATAACCCAGGTGTAATACCTGTAATGTGCATATACCTAGAATCATTAGAATTGATTAGGATGAGTGATACCCAAAGTCTTCAAAACTATCAGTGAGTCTCCTTGGCCTAGTGGGGAGTGAAAAACAACAGGTGAAAGAACAGAGCAGCCTACAACTACTTGAGAGGTAGTGACAAAGATGCTGCAAGAGTAGGTACAAAGAGGGAAAGATGGTTCTCTGTTATGTCAGATGATACAGAATTGGGCAGTGGCCCCAAATTGCAGGCTGAACATTTCAAGTTGATCATCTGGAAAAAATTCCCCAAGAAGATGATGCAGTTCAGGAACATGTTGTCTGGTGGAGCTGTGTTCTCTCCATTTCTGGAGTTTTTATGGGTCAGACAGGTAAAGACATGGCTAACCTCACTGCTGTTGGCACTAGTCCCACTCAGAGTGGGAGCTGGGACTAGCTGCCCTCCAGAAGTCCATTCAGACAACCATTTCTGTGGTTCTGTGGATTCACCCTGTTCAGTTCCTATCCAAAGGTTCTGTGTTGTTTGCACCACAAATAGGAAATGACTATTGGATAAAAGGAAGCACGAGGGCTCTCCTGTTCACTTGGGGTGAGAGAATTGGTACAAAAAGCAGATCTCAAGTCAAAAGCCACAAATCTCATATTCAAAGATCTCAGCCTAAGTGCAAAACCAGAGATTCTTTGTGCTATAAGCAAATATTTTAAAAGTTAATAACATCCTGGCATAGAAATATTTCTAATTAATTAGTCATACCTTCTAACCTCCAAAATAGAAAAAATATTTGCCTATCTCAGCATTTAAGCTCTAGGTTTGGGGAATTATTTGGGTTTTTTTAGTTTATATTGAAGAAGGAATGTATATGTCTCTTGTGAGCAATGAAGTCAGATCTTGGTGGTTTAACTATTCAGATCATATGCAAAATGAACTTGCTTTGTGCTTCTTTTCTTACCTTTATTTTCATTTTACTTCAACTGCACTAGCTAAAGCCTCTGCTGCTGGCTGTGTTTACATTTATTGCCTGCAATTAGGAGGCAAGTTTCATAAAAGCCTACATTGCCTCATTCAGAAGACAACAAATCTGTCAAAAACAAAAATCAAAAAAAAACCCCAAAGCCCTGGTTACTCCACAAAGATGAGAGCTGGCTGCATGGCACAATTAGA